TGTAATATATGAACATTTAAGGCATTTTATTTGGTATTGTATGTATTTAAAGTACACATTGTGTTTATAAAGAGTACAAATAAGTACAGGTGAATGTTTTGATAAGTAAATAGAATTTGCAGTTTTGTTAACAAAAAAAGGTTTTTGTATGAAAATTAGAGGACATAAGTGAATCATGATCTTTGTGGATTGCTTGTGTATGAAAAATTTCATAGAAATACAACACAGTGAATTGTTACCTAGAACTTGTACAACTTTATCCTTCACATTCCAGTACATTGTTCTTACTCTGTATATGGATTTGAACAATCCTAAATTTGCAGGGCTGGTTTTAAAAATTCTTTGTTGGCCATCCTTCAGATGACATAAATACTGCTGCAATCAATTTTTCCCAAACATGTAATGAAGACAATTTCTTTTCATCACAAAATTGGTAATACTGAATTTCTGCTGCTGTTAAAGATCATGCCAAGAAACAAAGATACTGAGTACTATATAAACTTGCTTGTAAGTCAAGTTCAGCTGCAAATAAAATCTTAATTTCATCCAATAATGTTCCAGCAGGTTAGGGTATATGTTGTTTATTCAGATGATTACTTTTAAATAATTGCATGGACTCAGATCTACTGGTGCTTTATGTGATGGCAGGTCTTGGTCTTTGCAGTTTGAAGATGGACCTGAGTTATAGGTGAGTATAAATGGTATGTACCGACTACCAAGACGTAGGGGTTATGAGGCACCAGGACTTAGGGGCTATGTGACACAAGGACTTAGGGGTTATGAGACACCATGACTTAGGGGTTATGAGACACCAAGACTTAGAGGTTATGAGGCACCAGGACTTAGGGGTTATGAGGCACCAGGACTATGGGGTTATTTTTACAGCTGGCCCTAATAAGACTACAAAATTTATTTGTATCATTGTAAAAGCAAGGAGACCAGTGATAGGGTCAAGCAGAAAGATAATTTGACAATTATACATGAACACTATCAAGTTCTGATTGATTGGTTCTTACCTGTCTTCATTTTCTTGTTATAAACCTAATTAACAATCTTAGTAAGCACTTTATACATCTGGCTTTGTTATAATGGAAAGAGAAAAGATAAACTAAACTCTCAGAATGTTTGCTAAGTTCCAGTCATTTTGTTATAAGTAAAAAGTCAGAAATTATAATTCTTTCCTTCTTATATATTATTGGAATTATTTTTAATATCTTGTATTTTCATATATTTAATTTTGTTCTAGAAAAAAATTTTTTTTTGAAATATCTTTGAGAGTTATATGTTCAGGTATGTCCAATGTTTGTGGGTGTGGCCATGTTCTAGATACACTGCCATTGCCAGACTCTTTATTTCTTCATAACAAATTCAGAAATATGTACCTGACACAGGAAAAAAAATCTATTTAATGAAAATTTTCACCATCAAGTACAGCTTCATTAGTTCAGAAAAGTAACACATCTTCTATGCCAGATGAATTATACAATACTGTGTTGAAACAAGGTCATGTTTTCTACTTCTGATTAGACTCCACACTGACAGTTGTCACATGATGACTTTAAAGCCAAGAGCATTTTTGGATGTACATTCCCTCACAAATGAAAGCGAATTTTTATAAATGACCATAAAAGAAGGGCAGAGAATAAATGAGCAATTGACTGGCTGAAATGCTGTTTATACACATTAGTTAAAATTTCCTTCAAAATATATTTGATGTCCCCAAGCATTTATCTCTGAACATGCAAATTTGACAATTTAATGATATGAAAATGCAAGTTAAATGGAACTTTCTTCAGGTGTTTAAGACTCCTGGTTATGATGTAATAACAGAAAACACTCCTGTTAAGTGAATGTAAACAAACTTTTGTGTATTGTGCAATCACTATCAGATTTCCTGACCAGGAAGAAACTTTAGGATCATTACATTGGGGGGGGGCTCAGCATCATTTGCTTTTGTTGGGTGTTCTTGGCATGGTTCAGCAGCAAAACTTGGGTAGAGGTTGATCTAATATGGATATATATGATATATAACAAAACTACATGCATATTTTGTTTCAGTTTGGTGATAACTGTACCTTATTTAGTCATGCTGTGATATGCACTCAACAACTCTCAGCATAAATCAAGATTTGCAATGATATTCATTCGACAGCTCCCAGCATAAATCCAGATTTGCTGTGATATGCACTCAACAACACCCAGCATAAATCCAGATCTGCTGTGTGACTATATGCTGTCAGAATAAACCGCATAGACTTCTCTCCAACCATTGTTCAACAGCATATTTATATCAAGGCTATTTGCAGTTGGGTACACATGGAATACAGTAGTAAGTGAAGAAACGAATCTAAAATAATAAACATTCTACTAGTTTCATTGATCTGTATTGAGCATGGGTGCTCCACTAGTCTCACAAGAGTTGCAGTTAGTACCTTAATGTAAACATGCATGCACATGTGATAGAAATGGGAACTCCATTTAGGAAGAGTGTGAAGTTGTTTAGTGGCAGCTGCAGTCCTTCTCTTGTGTGGAATTCAGTTAATACTTTTATGAATTAAATCTAAAAATTACATCAGATAATTAATTGAAGAGGATTTTACAGCTGAGTATTTAACACAGCTGTTTGAAACGTCCAGCAAAGTGAATAGCTATCTTGATGTGATGATAACCTATCCTGTAAAATTTGGTGTCCACAGTAAAGATATGGTATCTAGAATAAAAAAAGGTTTTCTAGATGTTAACCCACGGTTTTAAAATAGATCTGCTTCACTTGCTCATGCTCATTCCTTTGTGGCATGTTGCAAAATTGTTGATTATACACAAAATGGGATTCTTTTTTGTTTGCCATGCAAATTCATTTTAGCTCAAAGGCCACATTATACCTTTATTTTATAATCATTATGTACAAATTGAAAATGATTTTAGCAATCATGTATTTATTTGTGTGGGTGTGGTCTTTGTCAGAAGTAAGCCGTTAATTAGCATAATTATGTGTTTAGTACAAGATTTCTTTCCAGGAAACCTCAATAAAATATTTTACATAATTTGCTATTGTTTTCATTATATTTACCCATTATGTATACATGTATCTAATTTTGCTGTTTTCATCATATTTATCCATTAGGTAGATATAAATTTGCTGTTGTTTTCATCTTATTTATCCATTAGGTAGATATAAATTTGCTGTTGTTTTCATCTTATTTATCCATTAGGTAGATATAAATTTGCTGTTGTTTTCATCATATTTATCCATTAGGTAGATATAAATTTGCTGTTGTTTTCATCTTATTTATCCATTAGGTAGATATAAATTTGCTGTTGTTTTCATCATATTTATCCATTAGGTAGATATAATTTGCTGTTGTTTTCATCATATTTATCCATTAGGTAGATATAAATTTGCTGTTGTTTTCATCATATTTATCCATTAGGTAGATATAAATTTGCTGTTGTTTTCATCTTATTTATCCATTAGGTAGATATAAATTTGCTGTTGTTTTCATCATATTTATCCATTAGGTAGATATAAATTTGCTGTTTTCATCTTATTTATCCATTAGGTAGATATAAATTTGCTGTTTTCATCATATTTATCCATTAGGTAGATATAAATTTGCTGTTTTCATCATATTTATCCATTAGGTAGATATAAATTTGCTGTTTTCATCTTATTTATCCATTAGGTAGATATAAATTTGCTGTTTTCATCATATTTATCCATTAGGTAGATATAAATTTGCTGTTTTCATCTTATTTATCCATTAGGAAGATATAAATTTGCTGTTGTTTTCATCATATTTATCCATTAGGTAGATATAAATTTGCTGTTTTCATCATATTTATCCATTAGGTAGATATAAATTTGCTATTTTTTTCATCATATTTATCCATTAGGTAGATATAAATTTGCTGTTGTTTTCATCTTATTTATCCATTAGGTAGATATAAATTTGCTGTTGTTTTCATCTTATTTATCCATTAGGTAGATATAAATTTGCTTCATCATATATACTAACCTAGTTTAGGCCAGTAAATTGGCACTTTTTTCCCCAACAGTATGCTGTAGGAAGGCTATTGTACTAACTATGAGCATTTTGTTTTCATAGCATTTTAACATAGCATCACAGCTACAAGATTTTGGGGTATTCCAGACCTGTCTAGCTTGTTGTTAGAAAAAATAATACAAGACCATAGAGAATAAACATTAAAAGTATTTGTAAATTACCTTAATGTGACATTTGTTGTGGTTGGGGTGGGGTGCTTCCGATTGTTTATTAAACTATTATGAAGGTCCCACACAGGCTCTTTTTTGTTGGAAGCTAAATTTAGTGAAAGATAGATGTAAACCTCCGAGACCCGTGTCAGCAATGCAGACGGTTAGGTAGTTAAATGTACAAAAAGGTTGAGATTCGATGAATAACAATTTAGTAACAATCGAATGATCAAATGCCTACAATTTGCAATTACACTATTTCCACTTGACCTTTTAATAAGCCTGTTACATCACTTGCTTAGCGGTGTGAGATTGATTTCCAACTATCCTTGTACTTCTACTCATCTGTTGTATCCTTTTTGTCGTATTTCTCCAGCTTCCTTCTCCTCTACTTTAACTAGACTCCTTTTACTCAACTTTCTCCAGCTTCCTTCTCCTCGACTTTAACTAGACTCCTTTTACTCAACTTTCTCCAGCTTCCTTCTCCTCGACTTTAACTAGACTCCTTTTACTCAACTTTCTCCAGCTTCATTCTCCTCGACTTAACTAGACTCCTTTTACTTAACTTTCTCCAGCTTCCTTCTCCTCGACTTTAACGAGACTCCTTTTACTCAACTTTCTCCAGCTTCCTTCTCCTCGACTTTAACTAGACTCCTTTTACTCAACTTTCTCCAGCTTCCTTCTCCTCGACTTTAACTAGACTCCTTTTACTCAACTTTCTCCAGACTCTGATTCCTCCTCTGCTTTCTCTACCACGACTACTTTTCTGTCGACTTCAAACCACTCCGGTGGCATAGTGGTTAGAGCGTTTGCCTCGGATGCAGGAGGTCGTAGGTTCGAGCCACAGACGAGTCATACCATGCGGCATGATGCCCCAGTGCTAGACATCACTAAAAGCTGCCACACTGCAGATGTCATAGCGATATGATTGAGAAATTGTTAAAACTACGTTAAAAATCGAAATCACAAACACTTCTGTCGACTTCAACTGTCTAGGCTACAGTCTCAATTCCGTCTCCAGCTCTTGAAGAATCGGAACCCTATGAAACCCGAAGTCCTGTGATCCCTAAAATGCTTCCTGTGAAAACACAAGGACATTACAATCTTTTTCTTAACTCTCTCATCTCGCACTAAACACAGCCTATCATCAGATAACGGCTATTAAATTCCTTTGGTCACTCATTCGTTCACATCGAGATACCCTTACGTTCTTGTAAGGTAAACCAACGTCATAATACAGCACCATACCAATTTACTTCTCATACATTCATCAACAAATTTCGTCACATCAATACATATTTCTAATCCAGTCATACTATACAATATAAAAAAAATCAGACGCATTTCTTTATCTTACAACTCGTACAAAGTAAACAAATATTCAAATATCCAGGCTCTGATATATGCATATATCCATAGTAACTAATTTTACGTACATCAACCACTTTTCCAAATTCATAATTCAAGCATATGTAAGTTCTAGCATAACGCATTAATAAATGCTTTAGTTTACTACGAAGTAACCTAATAGCGAATTACAAAATATGTTCTTGACCACAAGCTAACAATCTACATAATTCCGTCTCGCATCTAATAATTCTCTACGTAGGCTCAAGCCCATTTCTCAAATACGCATGTGAATGAAACACTACAACACTACATATTAAACGATCATAGCAAATGAAGTATATATAATACAAATAATGACAATTATGATGCCGTAATATTGTGAAAAAATCGATCAAATAACTTGCTGACCTTTTCGAAGCTTTGTCTTACCTTAGAATATACTTCTAAGTTTTGCCGCCAAATTACGAGTGGCTTCTTCTTGGAGTAAACCCTATTGATATGCAGTGTTCTTTCAGGCGAATACTAAATCTCTCTCCTCCCTCCCCCCCCTCTCTCTCTCTCTCTCTCTCTCTCTCTCTCTCTCTCTCTCTCTCTCTCTCTCTCTCTCTTACACACACACACATACACACACATACGCGCCGTTCACCACGTTGACTTCTTTTATCTTTGGACTAACCTTTAACAACTAGGTGTGATAACTGCAAACATTTATTAAGTCTTACGTTAGGCCTTTGCCGATTCAAGCTTCCGGTCTTCGGTTGGTCAGGTAGTCTTGCATAAGAGTTCAACACTAGTCCCCAAGCAATCTTTCAACATCAAACACATAACGGCGGTAACGTTCCCAAGACATGTAGATTATAAATTATACATGACTTTATAGCTGGGGTTATAGCTTATACGTGATTTTATTGCTGGGCTTAGAAAAAGTGACACTTATGTACAAGAACATATAAACATGCAATTACAGAAAGTTGATACGATTATAGAGACATTTAAACTTTAACACTAGACGTAAATATACCGGATAATCACAGGAAACAAGTGGCTGACTCCCTTGATGAAAGGAGCAATTGAGCTTCAAAGATAATTCATCTTCTCCACCACTCGCTGAGTGAATGAAAAATATATAATTGAAATGATTAATATTATTTATAATTTAAGTTTAAGTACGAGATATCAGTTGCTTAAATCGGGGTGGTGAATTAGGTGCAGGTGAACTGTTAACATTCAGGTGATGAAGGTGGTAAATATAGTAAGTTGAAGGCGGAACTTCAGTTCGCCTTCTAATTAAGGTAAAGAGATGCTTAAGTAGCAAGTACTGAAGTAATATGCTGGTGTATCAATTTCAGAAAGAACAATCTGTATGTTTTCCAGAATTATCTAAACCGTCATCATCCCTCGTCTTCACTTCGATCGGCTAACTGCCATGATAATTAACCGAAAATGAAATCGTATAGAAGCAGACGTCAACTCATAAATAATAAGATCTGCAATGCTCTGGAGGTATCAAGCAAGCATATAATATTTCATTACGAGCTAACAATTGCAACTTAATTGTGTTTATCCAACATAGCCTGAGAGTACGATGTCACCAGATCCTATACTAACGTCTGTTATGAACGCTGACATGTTAGTGAATATAGACTCCCATCCTTGAATATACCTATCACATGTTAACAGTGTCTTGGTATCTCACAAAATGAGCTTTCTAAAATCACATTCTAATTAACTGGTCTGCTAGACTTAGTGATACTCAGATCTATGCCATTTGAGATTTATTATCTCGTCGCCGCTACGGTAGCCGGACTGCGAAGCAGATCACTCCGTAACCAAGTCATTTCATACCAAAAAGCAATGGTGGTTTTGTAGCCAAAACTAGAGCCGTTTATTGCACGCATGTTAGTTTAACCACCAAACTTATATACAAATATATTTTCTACATATTTCAAACTCTTACATATTGAATTTCAGGGATTGTCTTCGTGATAGGTATGCCGTATTATCTGGAGCACATGTAGATGTTTTATTGCTGGTAGAATCCAAGCATGCCAAAGTTTATTTAGTTATTTAAAACATTAAATATATAGCTTTAAAATACATAAGTAAATATATGTAAAAAAAACACTGTCAAGTTAAATTTATCCACCCACCCCATTGAGAGTATTTATATTTAGGAGGAAAACAAATAAAACAGATTATGCCAAGTATTCCGCAGTCTACAGTTTGAATACCAGGGAGTAACAGCCTACAAAAGTTGAAATTAATACAAGTACTGTTCGATGGAGACGACAAACTTAATTAAGTAGCGCAATTTTATCTGCTTTCAGTCCATTCTTAGCTTTTCTAGCTTATCTTTTAACTTGCAATGTGAATTGTATGATATGACCGATAGTCAATTAATTGGCAATTTAGTTTGCATTGGCGACAAGTTCACGGGAAAATATTGGAATTATGAAGTAAATTGACTGTCGAGGCTAACTAATACCTAATACAAGGTAATTTCATCATACTTTTGTGACTGACAGTGTAAAATTTACGGTATTATGAAGTGAATCCAAAATAATCCTTAAACGTTATGTTCAAGTCCAAGAGAATTAAATGTTCCGAATATATTTCTGATCAATTGATGTACATATCACAGTGGCATTGGCCAGAATTACTCTGAATAATTCACAATAGTCCCAGAATACTATTTTAGTCCACTGAGCACTTTGTAGTTCCACTGATACTCTTAATCAAATTTGTCCTCTCAAATTATTCAAGCACAATATCAAACACATTTGCAAATTGATTTCAAGGTATGCAATAAGAATTAGAACTATGAATGAAGCCTCCTTATCCAAAATGGGAATGAATCTGCTAAGTTCTCTTTTTATATACACCTTCAAGTGTCTATTACGACTATCTATCGCAATATACCCCACGTGACAGATCTTACTTCTCAATCTAATATTTGAAAATACCTATTCATGTGACCTATCCCATCAAATTGAAATTAACTTAGTTCTTTTAAAAACCCAGCGAACCACACCAGCCAGTGAGAAATTACTGCAAAGTTGTCAACAGGTTTAACTATTAGAAATATGACATCTATCCTATTTAATCTACATTTGTAATACCTTAAATTATAATTGTATATATGAGTAAAAGAAATTAGCTATCTAATATTTTGACTACACAGGTTCATTACAATTTATTTTTCAAAAAATACCCATAAAATAGATACAATAATGTACCAAGAGATACAAAAATAGAGATATTCATACCACCTCGCATCATAAAGAAAAGATTTATGCTATAAATGCTTTCTTTTTCTATATCAATCAAACATAAAACTGATAATAAAATTACAGAGTAAGATGTTTTATTAATAAGACAAACATATATATGACGTTTTGGTGATAAAAGTTAAATGGTTGTGAATACTGAATACAATAATAGGCGAAAGAGCTGATTAAATATACATTTCAAAGTGTTGTAAAACTTATTTTCAAGACGTTTTCAAAAATTGACAACCTTATGGCACATGTTAACTTCGATAAAAGATGTCACTCAATAAATCAGTGCTTGTGTAGATATGGGGTACATTTTTTTTTTCCAACCGCAAGTCGAAAAGAAACACCATAACCAAAAATACTTTTCATTATTAAATTAAGAAGTCATAGCAATCTTGTTACTCGTATTGCTCAGACCGTCAAACCTGCCCCTTTTCATGAATATAAAGTTGCACATGTTTTAGCGTAAGGCAAATATGAGAAACGCTAGCAATTGCTGCTTTGCTTTGTGATATCCTACATGGCCAATACATGAAAGTCCCAATTTCACAGTTACAAATGTATAAAAATATTTTTAGAATATTTTAAAAAGTAGAATATTATTGTGACACCTATTTTACTCGCTTATAAAACGACTCCAACTGCAATTTGCACTGGCCCAGATCTACCGTCGCATAATGTACTGACAGTTTTGTTCGAAGTAATCAGAACAAACAACATAAACCCTTACTTGTATGTGTATTATGCTATGTCATATCAGGATCTTTGTTGTTTGCAGTTTGAAACGACTAATAAACGAGTAAAGACGGTATATATTGCAGGAGGTTATAGTTTCATACACTTTTTAGTTCTTTTAAGTCGAAGTGAACAATGACTGGAAAAATAATTACACATGGACAAGTCTGAGCTTTACGAAACAGGAGATTGTTAATTTGCATCCTTTACCTCTGCATATGGCCGCCATGATTTCATGTCGGTGAACGTGGGCAGGCAAGTTCATTGTCCCATTGGATAACTTCAGCTCTGATTGCATTCTTAACAAATGACAAAGTCATCGATTAATTTTCCATATTTTCATCCTACTGCAACCAGATGAATGATTGGGCCATTTTCTGAGTCGCCAGCTCATACACGACTTTGGGATTCATGACTGCCATTATTGTTATTGATCTTAAGTCCCTCCGGTAGTTTTTATCAGACCCAATGTCTCTCCAGTATGTTTATCAGATCCTGTCCTCC